GATGAGTTACCAAAATTTTCAAAAGCAATTACTAGTGATCAGAATATAAATAATAAAAAATTCATAAACTTATTAACGAAATATAAACATTCGAAGAATTACGTATCGTAAAACCTTTGAAGAATTACGCATTGTAAAAACGTTGTAATACTACACATCATAAAACTGTCGCAATACTACACATTGCAAAACTGTTGCAACACTATGCAATGTAAAAACATTCGAAGTCCTACACGTCGTAAAGTTTCGAAGTATTACGCATACGTAAATTTTCAACAGCCTTGTAACCTTATGTAATATTACGAGACGTAGGGATTACATAATACTTCACTTTATTAAATTTACTGATGTACAAGAAGGTTATTGAGAAAAATGGTAAATAAATATTATATAATTTTTTTAAAAATAAAATCTACTACTTCTTATCTTTAAATTCTTATCTTTAAAATAACATTGTATGTTTTAATTAGTACAATGGTTATATAACTATTACAATTTTAAAAATTGACATTTTTTTTGCACACCACTATATATAACGATAATGTATTCTTAAGAATATTAAAAAAGACATCATTTGATAATAAAGAAAAAATAAAAATATAATTTATATGTGAATATGAAGAAATTGATATAAAAATAAAAGAAAAGGATTATAGTTAAAAATAAATGAATAAAGATTATTTTGAATTATTAAAAATTTTGATATGTTGTAATTTATAGGATATGAATATATTGATAGAGAAATTCTTTTTTAAAAAAATAAAAAAAAATTAATTTTTTAATCATTTCTCTTACCAACAATAAGTATTTTTTTCAATTCTGGTAAATTCATTCATTTAGAGAAAATTTTCGATTGTATGTATGTTATAGCTAGGTTTTATTTTATAAAAGAGAACCACTGTTATATTTTATTAAATACATAATAATCGACAATTTCGTTTTTAGCAAAGGATAGAATTTCAAATCCATAAAAAAATTACATTCATTAAGGAGGGAAGGTAAATAGAGCTAGATTAGAAGTATTAGAATTAAAGCAATATTTTTCCTCATCCATTGAGTAAATCTATCTTAAGGTTGCAATTATCTAAAAAAAATTTGTTTGAAATAAAAAATAAAATTACATAAAATTTACAGATCTCAAAAAAGAAATTGCTAGGATAATTATTTTTCATTGAATTCAACATTTTCCATCGCCTCCTGAGTATTATCAAATGATACTTTTTCTTTCAACCCTTTGTGTTGGGATGTTTGAGCATTAACAACCCGTCCTTTATAACCTGTTCTCATTCCAAAGGTAATAGTTTTAGGTACTCTTGGTAGTCTTAGGTTCGACATGGATTTAGTAAGAGAATCAACATCCATAGTTCCAGGCTCGGTGGCAGTAGAATGGAATGAATCTATTTTCAAATAACTTGCAGAATTATCATGTTTCATTGGTGATTGTGATGATTCTAAATTTCTATTACTATAGGTGAAATATATGTCAATATTTTATAAGCAAATAACTTGTTAAGATAATGTATAATACCTGTTCTTTCTCTTTTGTTTCCTTATATTCTCCGCATTGCGTATGCTAAATGGAATGATTCCATTCACAAGTATACCAAAATTAAAAGTTTTCGGATATTTATGATAATCTATTAAATGAAGTCGTCGTTTCTTTGGGCTCCAAAAAAACCTATTACAACCTTGAACATAACATTCATGCTATAAATAAGGTTAAGACGCGTTAAGTTCATGATATTAAATGAAAAAATAAAGAAATAAAGAAATATAATAATTACTATCTTTTCACCCTTTTCTTTTCTCATTAGAGTCATAATGTCATGAAATTCCGTCAAATGAAGATTCAACCAACGTTCTGAAGGGAATACTTTGTCACATTCTTGACAAAAATGACGATGAGAAGCATTATAATGTGTTTCGTAGTCTAAGGCAGTATAAAACATTAATGGATTTTTATTACACCAAGGTGGTGAACAACATGCAATTGGGTTTGTGCTAGGAAGGGAAACGGTTAATAACTAAATTTTTGTCTATGAAACAATATTTTGAAATTTAGTTTTCTATTTTACATTGTTAATGACTTTAGTTCCTCGTTAAAAACCTCTTCAATTTGTAAATGCGAGTGTTTTTTCAACCAATCGAAACGGAATTCCAAGTTTCCTAGTGTAAAAAAAGGATCTTCTGGTGAAAATTTTCGTTTGAATGGGTGATAAAATTCTGACATGTTATAAAATAGGAAGAAATCTATCAATCTTTGATTTGCAAACTACATTAACTCTCAGTACATAACGATATATAAATATCTTGTAACGTCACAGTTTCATTTATAGTTTTTTTATATTAAGAGAGAATATTAATCTAGAGTCTAGCTAAAAAATTTTATGTAACGATTGAAATGCAATTCAATTTCCAATAATGTAATATAAATAAATCTACGCGTCGTAATAGTACCTATATAGTAATGTACCATTGTATTAATTGTATTACTAACCAACAACGGAAATATGGAAATAACGTATAAATTGCCAGATCACGAAAAAATGTCGAATCAAATCAGATACGCGATTTTTCGTTCAAATTAAAACCAACTTGTTATATCACCGAGTTTTCTGAAAGTTTTATTCCTTTTTGACTTTATACTTCAAAAATGTCTTCAATGGATATTGACACAAGTCTTGAATATATCAACGAACCAATAAATGAGGTTGTAAAAGAAAATGGGGATCATTCAGAGTCACCTACGGTATTTGTCAAAAAACATTTTTTTTATCTCACTGTCCTTCTCGTTTATTATTCATTCCGTTTACGTTGAAAAACCTTTAAAGGCTTCACGTGATACTTCATTTGTCGATGAAGACGTTCTAATGTCAGAAGAACAAGTAAAGCAGGTTTCTAATGATGAGTCCGAACAGGTATTAATTTTATTTCTTTCCTACATTTGATCATGCTAAACTTATAAGTTTAAACGTGTTTTTATATTTTGTTTGATTAAAAGAGTGGCTCAAAATCAAGTAAGCCTACGAAAGGAGAAGTTCAACGTTTAAGACATGAACGAAAGGTTCAAAAGGAATCCTTCGAAAGTGATAGGCGAGAACTAAATAAATCAAAGGTACATTATGTTTTGTAAGATTTTCATTGATTTAATAAAATCAAAGTGTCTTTCTAACAATTACTTTAATAGATCAAAGATACTGCTAAAAGATTCCAATTTTTACTTGGACATTCAGGTATTATCTATAAATAAATATAATTAGTGATTGATAGTTTATTCAATCGTTGCTTATGTCAATTCATCATTATATCTTTATTTAATACTTCAAGAGCTATTTTCGCATTTTATTGATTTAAAGGTAAGTAATGTGATTTTGAGTCAAAATTATAAAATTTATAAAAATAATTTATTTTGTTTCCTTTAGAAATCTAAAGATGAAGAATTTAAAGATCTTGTTGAGGAAGCGGATAAGTTAAATAAATCAAAACAAAATTCTGACGGGTAATGAAATACATGTTTATGTATTTAAATTTATTTGTGAAGATGTCATTATAATAAAACTTTTCTTTTTCTTTCGTTGATTTTAGATCTCGTCGTCATAGAAAGACAGAAAAAGAAGAAGATGAGGTTATTAAAAAAAATTTTTTCGTTTTACTATTAATAGTTGTAATTGATTATTCTAATATTTTATGTTATATAGGAACTACTAGAAGATGAAGAAGATGAATCGGAAGACGCTCCAACTGTCTTTAATGAATCTCCAAACTGTGAGTGAAATAAAACTGTTCAATTTTTTTGTAATTACTTTAATTTCCTAAATTATTTGAACATTATTTGTGGTTACAGATATAAAAAATGGTGTTATGCGCGACTACCAACTTCAAGGCTTGAATTGGATGATATCTCTTTTCGAAAATGGAATAAACGGAATTTTGGCTGATGAAATGGTAAATTCATGATTTTATTATGCATTGATTGTTAGATTTATAGTTTAACAACCTTTGTATTTTGGAAAAATATATTTGCAAAACAGGGTCTCGGCAAAACATTGCAAACCATTTCATTTTTGGGATACTTAAAACATTATCGTGATATACCTGGTCCTCATCTTGTTGTCGCTCCAAAATCAACATTGTTTAATTGGCAGAAAGAATTCAATATGTGGACACCGGATTTCCATATACTTGTTCTTCAAGGAAATAAAAATGATAGGGTGATGTATATAATATTTAAACTCGAAACCTGATTAATTATATTATTAATTATTATGTTTTTTTATATACATTTATCATAGGCTCAATTAATAAAAGATCGATTATTGTCTCAAGATTTCCAAGTTTGCATAACATCTTACGAGATGTGCTTAATTGAAAAAGCGCATCTAAAAAAGTTTGCTTTTCAATATATAATAATCGATGAGGCTCACCGTATAAAAAACGAGAATTCTATGCTTTCACAGATTGTCAGACTTTTTAAATCACGAAATCGTTTATTGATAACTGGAACACCACTACAAAATAATCTTCATGAGTTGTGGGCACTGTTGAACTTTCTTTTGCCAGATGTTTTTAGCTCATCAGAAGATTTTGATTCTTGGTTTAGTTCTCAAGGCGGTGATCAAGATAGTGTCATTAAACAACTTCATAAGGTAATATCTATAATGTTATAAATTTAATTTAATTATGAATATTTATGATCATTTATTTTTATTTGTAGGTTTTGAGACCTTTTCTTTTGAGAAGAATAAAATCTGACGTTGAAAAATCTCTTCTTCCGAAAAAAGAAATAAACTTGTATGTTGGCATGACATCGATGCAACGCAAATGGTATCAACGAATTTTGGAGAAAGATATTGCCGCCGTTAATGGTAAATCCGTAAACGTTTTTTATCATTGTTTCTGAATATCAAACTAAAATAATTCGTTATTGTTCATAACATAGGTGTCGTCAGCAAAAGTGAAAGTAAGACACGATTGTTGAATATTGTAATGCAATTGAGGAAATGTTGTAATCATCCATATCTTTTTGATGGTGCTGTAAGTATCATTTCTGATCATAAATACTTAACGATTAATATATTAAACAATATTTCTTCTAAATTAGGAACCTGGCCCTCCATATACAACCGATGAACATCTAGTTGACAATGCCGGTAAAATGATAGTACTAGATAGACTTCTAAAACGGTTAAAAGTTCAAGGATCCCGTATCCTACTATTTAGTCAAATGAGTCGTGTTCTCGATATATTAGAGGATTATTGTATATTCCGTAGATTTGGTATGTACTTTGAAAATCATGTCATTTTATTTGAATTCGAGATTCTATATAACCAAAAAATTTTTTAGAATACTGTCGTATTGACGGACAAACAAAACAAGAAGATCGGGTTTCTGCAATTGATGAGTATAACGCACCAGGGAGTAGCAAGTTTATCTTCTTACTTACTACTCGAGCTGGTGGTCTTGGAATCAATTTGACTTCCGCTGATATAGTAATTCTTTATGATAGTGATTGGTAAGAATCATTCTATTATTGTTTCTATTCATACTCGGTTCATTAATTATACTTTGATATGTAGGAATCCGCAAGTTGATCTCCAAGCACAAGATCGCGCTCACCGTATTGGACAAACAAAACAAGTTTATGTATTCCGTTTTGTAACTGAAGTAAATATATGTTAATAATATAAATAGAATTTAAGTAATTTGTTCTCTAACTAATAGTTCTATCTTATTTAACAGAATGCTATTGAAGAAAAGGTGTTAGAACGTGCTGCACAAAAGTTGCGTTTGGATCAACTTGTCATTCAACAGGGACGATTAGCTCAGACGCAAAAAGGTTTATATAAAATTAATACATTGAATTTATTGAAATTGATTGGTTTCTATAAATTTTATAATTTAACCAACAATAAATGTATAATATAGCTGCTAGTAAGGAAGAACTCTTGACCATGATTCAACATGGTGTAGAGGGTATCTTTACTTCAAACGATAGGTAAGACTAATGATGTAATTATTATTTTTAAATTTAAAAATAAATTTTATTAACAATATATTCCGACCATAAATTTAGCACAGTCACGGATGATGATATTGATCAAATTCTTCGTAAAGGTGAAGAAAAAACTGCCGAACTTTCAAGTAAATATCAAAGCCTTGGACTCGAAGATTTACAAAACTTTACGTCAGAATCAGCTTATCAATGGCAAGGCGAGGATTGGAGTAATAAGGTTGGTCTTTTCTTTCTTTAAATCCTAATTATTATTATTATTGTGAGCTACAATTGATTTATAATGTTCAGCAAAAGAAAAGTGACATAGGTCGTTTCAGTTGGATAGAGCCGCCTAAAAGAGAACGTAAAGTCAATTATGCAGTTGACTCGTATTATAGAGAAGCGCTTCGTGTTACGACTAAGCCAGCTCAGGCTAAACCTCCAAAAGCGCCGAAACAGATAACCATGTTTGTATCATATATTTCCTTGTTCTATTATTAATGTGTAATTTATTAAAAAATATTTTTTTTTTTCGATTTTTTTTTTTAGTAATGAGCATCAATTCTACCCTCCACGTTTGGTAGAATTATTAAAAAAAGATATGTATTATCAACAAGTATGTATTAAATTTAACATATTCTTGAGAGTTATAACTTAGCAATTCGTTAATATTTGCTTGTCAAATAGAAATTGGCATGTTATAAAGTTCCTTTATCAGAGCCACAGGGCGAAGACGACGATGCAGAATCGCGTGAACAGGAACGCCAAGAAGAACAAGAAAGAATTGATAGTGGTAATTATATTTGACGTACGTTTGTTATAATATTTCAGTTAATTAAAATACATGCTTTGTTATCCATAGCGGAACCTCTTACTGAGAATGAAGAATCTGAAAGGGATAGATTAATGAATGAGGTTAGTATAAATATTTATGGTAAATTTTTTTTTTATCAACTAAAATCTGGTATATTAGGTTTTTGAAGATTGGAGTAAACGTGACTTCAATAATTTTGTGACCGCATCTGCACGATGGGGGAGAGATGCCATTGAAGAAATTGCCGAAGAAATGGAAGGAAAAACTGCAAAAGAAGTCAAAGCATACGCCGAAGTATTTTGGGATCGATATCATGAATTACCTAGTAAGTAAAATGTTATATATATATTTAATTATTATTTTTCTTAAAAAATATTATTTCATTTATTCTAGATTATGAAGAAATAATTAGCAAGATAGAAAGGGGTGAAGCCAAGTTGCAACAGACAGCCGATATTCAAGAATTAATTAAATCAAAAGTAAAATATTATCGTCAACCAGGACATCAATTACAAGTTTCAAATCAAGGCAAAGGGAAATCATTATACACAGAAGAAGAAGATAGATATTTATTAATTGCCTTAGCCAAATATGGTTATGGAACGGATGACGTTTATGAAAAAATACGTAGTGATATTGAAAGCGTAGACATGTTCAAGTTTAATTGGTTTATAAAGTCAAGGACAACAAGCGAAATTGCTAGAAGATGTACTACCCTGATAAATCTTATTCAAAAGGAATCTGGAGATGAGGAAGAAGATGAAAAGCCAAAAGTATATTAATAATTTTACTTTAAAGCTAAACCTTTTAAAACGATTAATTAATTTTATTTCATTTATTTTATTAGAGAAAAGAAACTCCATCAAGTAATGGAACATCTGTTTCAAATTCTAAGCGTAGTCGACGTTAGCGAACTTAAAAATGTTTTTATATTACTTAGTTTTACCTACATGATATACTAATAAATTACCATTATAATATCTGACATTTAATAACATAAAAAAGAGTATATATAGAGATCTATACATCGCACCACATACATTTGAAAGTCATTTTTGATTATATTAAAACAAATAATAGATAGTAAGCTAAAGTACACTCGCTCACTATTAAGTGTGAATTTTCTATATTTCGTTATGAACACAATAAAAATAATTTAGTTATACAGGAAGGAACTAATTATACAAAAAGTTAGTTATATTATTTTCAAACTATTTGAATAAATATGATAAATATATATATATATATATTATGGAAATAAGATATGAATAACTTAAAACATTATTAAAAGATGTTCAAAAATAAAATTGTCAATTTTCTTCATTTTCTTCTTGATAAATCTCTAAATGCTGAATCAATACAATTCTTTATCTCTTTATAAGAAACAATTAAACATGATTGTTCATCTCTTGAAACTAACATTATTCTTTCATCAACCCCAGCATCCAACTAAACAAAATACATATAAATTAACAGAATCCAAGATAAATAGTAGTGATCGATCAATAAAATGGTTATAAAATCATGCATACATTAAAGGAAAAAAGATATAAAATACCTTATTTAAACACATTAGTACATGTGCCATATCAACTACAGGGTAACCATTTTCATCTACTTGATGAAACACATAATCCCTAAATAATTTAATTAAATATCTATCTCCAGTTTCTGACCAACTTGGATCCATATCAAACCTAAATTTATTCATCAGGAAAGAGAAAAATGTAAATTTAAGTTTGGTAATTTGATCAAAGATAAGAAATATGTGTATAGACAAACGTACTCTGGACGTTCATTAATAAATCCGAATTTACATAGTAATCTTACTAATCTTCCATTTTCTAATTCCTGACTCAAACCACTTTCCAAAAAATCATTATAACTAGGAAAAGAATCATATTTAAAATTCCATAAATTAATAAAATATATATATATATATATAAAAATATAAATTCAACGTAAAATGAATATTTACTGATGAGCGCTATTAATCTCGTGTAATAATCGTGGTCCTATCATAGCTATAACATCATCTATAGATTTCATTGGAGTTGGTTTACTTAATAAATATAATATCACATTCTTTAAATCGAGAGAATAATGTCGGGAAATGTAATCAATTAATTTCGGTAAATTATGAACCGATGAAAGTGAATTACACGCAAGTGAAATTATTAATTGTCCGAAATTTAAGAGATCTTCTTGCTAATAAAAGATTTTAGACGTAGAATTAGTTAGTTTATTTAAAGCATAAATCAGTTTTAAAGAATACACTTGAATGTAATTTCAGCACGCTCATTATATTATATAAATATATATCTGAATTTTCAATCATGTATTGCCCAAAGAATTCCAAGAATTTCAATAACCATTAAAATGAACCTGAAAATGTGGGATATTTTTCCCACCATCAAAAGTCAACATATCCATTATGCCACAGCAATTAATACGTATTCTAAATTTAAATAATTTAATAAATTACTTTAAACGTTAAATATGGAATAACTTAAACAAATTAACCATACCGATTTTTATTAGTTAATAAAATTTTTGTAGGTTCAATAGTTCGCGCTGCCAGTCCTGAAGAATGTATCGTCTTTATTGCAGAAGCCAATTGTGTTATATAACTCCATAAAACTGTTTCAGTAATAACACCAGTCACGCCACCCTGAGGATGATTAGCTGCTTGCAATGAAGGTGAAAAATGTTTGTCGAAAAGGGTCTGTGATAAAGGATGATAATCGTATACAAAAACAAGTGCTTTCATACAATCAAACTTTAACATTAGATAAACCGAGTATTTACCATATTTTTAAAAAGGTACATATTCATTTCTGAATGAAATATTACTCACAATGATCACCAAAAGCCTTAGTGGTAAATGCTTCACGTACAGAAACAATATTCGCATGTCTGATCCTTCGCCAATTTTCTATTGTTGACATCGCTATTTCATTTGTTAAACGGAAACCTATTTACATCAATAGGCGTCAGTTTGGAATTTTGCTTAAACGAATTCGGATTAAGAATATTCTGACCCACCTACCCTCAATGCGTCTTAAACAATAGACGCGTCCATCAACAAGACAAACTGACTTGTATACCCAACTTGGATATCCGAAAATCTTTATGGATTTTTCTTGGCGTTGATCAAGTGGATACAAGGAATGATATACATGAAGTTCTTCGGGTAAATTAAAATCTTTCGCTAAAAAATACAATTATAAGGTGAGAGAATCAACAATGGATTGAACTATATTTATATCGTGGCAATATTTATTACCATTCACGATTTTCAACGTAGCTTCATTCTTTTGTTGCAATTCTTCACGTAAATGGTCCGACATAAAAAACGAATGAATTGTTTTTTGATGCGGATGTAGGTTGGAAACATGCGGTAGGGGTGATGTGTAAAGGTGATATCGTAACTACGAAAAATATTTTGAAATTCAATTTCAGTCATATATCGGAACTTTTGATAAGAAAATCAAATTACCGCATCTACGTTCATGATAATTATCGTACTGGTTGAGGCAATAAAGCCTGCTGAGATTGATATAAGAATGGATCCAAATGATGTGAAGTCGTAAAATAGCTTGTATTATTCATGTGTTGATGTGATAGAATATCTGGTATCGAATTCTCATTAGATGCAAATTGATTCGCCTATAATATAACGCGTTAAATTTTGACAATATATAAGTCAACATTTATAAAAAAATTAAAAAAAAAGATAAAAAGATATAATTTTGTATCTGACGTTGGCATTAAGCCCTAATGAAGCAAATGAATTGGCAAGTGCGTTTAAACCATGACTTCCAGCACCTCCAGGAGACAAAAGAAAAGGTGTTGAAGGTGATACAGGAGGATAAAATCCCATACTCTGATCGTATAATGTAATTCTTTAGAACAAAATAAAAATTGCTGCTAAATATTTTTGTTAACTAACAGGAAAAAGAAATTATTGGTAAATAATGTACTCATTATCATACTCTTTTTCTCCAGAATGTTGCTGCTGAGGTGAACCTTGCAGAATTGTAAAAATAAAATTTGAAAGAAAATAAATAAATAATGTGTAGCTTAACGCAGAGTTGTGCAATTGGACAATTTTGAACAGTTTTGGACAGATTTTGGACAGGTTTTGGACACAATTTCATATGTCCAAAACCTTGTCCAAAATATTTAAAATTAAAAAATAAGTCCAAAACCCATCATTGGCTTAACGCATTATAAAATTAATTCTTACCTGGTGTACTTGTAGGAATGACCGGAATTTCTTCGGGAGGGTTAACTTTAATAAAATATTTAATGTGTAAACTTTAAAAATTGTTATTAAAAAAATTCAGTAAGAATGTATATCAAACCTTGAGTACTTTTAGGGATAAATGGTGGCGCATTTACTACTTCTGGTGGAATGGATGAAAGTAGAACGGAAGGTTTGAATACTGGAGAATTGACACTTAATTTTGACTTTGTACTAATGAATTAAATGAATTATAAAATAAATGATAACAAATTTCTTTGTAAAGAAATAAGATAACGAATTGAGTTTTACTTACGTTTCCGGACTATTTGGAGGCGATGTCGATTTTCCCTAAAAAAATAAAATAAAACAGATGAACTAACAAATTTGAAACAAAAATATAGATTGATTTAGGGGTAAAAGTTATAGCTTTACAAGGGATCATCAATAAGGAAGCGTGTCACTTTATCATTACGTTAAAATATCAACATAAATGAAATTGTTTCTAAAGATCACTTCAGTCAACTTACTAAGTCGTGATTAAACTCACAACCTTTTCCCTCATATTTACAGTATCCATGTATAATTAAATTTCTACAAGTTCGCGTTTTGGCATTTGCAGCTAAATCTATAATAGAATTTTAATTAGTTAACACAAAAAAAGAAATGAACAACGAAGCATAAGTTTGATAGACTGGAAATCACGTAAAATTTTAGTCAAAAATTTCAATACTTTTTGAAGGTGGAGGACTTTTAGGGGTTTCCTTTTCGGTAGTAGGTGCGATAATTGGAATCGCGGATGATCCTGACGGGGTTGGAATCGAGAATGAAGACATTGAATTATAATAAAACAAGGAAAATCTCAGCGCGATCCGAATGCGAAAATGACCAAAAAAAAAAAAATAACTAATCTAATGCAGATAAAAAAACTTTTGACTTTTTCATGGTCACACATACGTAACGCAAAAATAGTTCATGTAACATCGTGTTTGATCAAGAAGTGTCACCTCCTGCGATGCAATTTTCATTAAAAATTTAAAAAATTTAATTCACTACACCCCGTCAACCGGTATCATATCCGAAAAATTTCCAAGACCTATATTTTCTTCCAAAATTTGATCATACTTAATATTTAAAGGTTTTTTAACCTAGAACGATTTTATATAAGTTACAAAAGTTTATACCGCCTGTTCTAATTAAAGAAAGAATCAACACAATTTTTTCTTTTATAGTAAGGTGAAGGGAAAGAAGGTTAGGATGTCGGTTACTCAAAACATTCATTGTCCTGGTATTGATTACCTTGTTGTGATTGATTTCGAAGCCACTTGTGACGAGAACAACACAAATCCACAAACTATACAAGTGACAAAGGTATTACAAAAACAAAGTAAATTCTTTGTAAGCTCGTGTTTCTTTATTGTCGGGGTTTACGGTTGGCTTCGGTGTTCGTACGCGTTCTCGAACCGTGTCCTGATATTTTTATTTGTTTTTTTTTGTTCAATAAAGTTAACTACATTTTAATGAGATTTATTACATGGCTTGCAAACGTTGTTGGCTTGATTCTTTACTAGGAAACGGCAGAAATCATAGAGTTTGCCTGGGTGATTGTTGATACCAGCACTTTGGAAGTGGTTAGTATCCAAATAATTTACTGGAAAACACGTATTTTTATAAGAAATCAAAAATTGGGGGATCTTTTCAAATTTGGCGCAATTCAATCATAATAATAAACATATAGGTGTATCAACACTCTCAATATGTCAAACCAGAAGCTACTCCTTTAACTCCTTTCTGTACCAGTCTAACCAATATAACTTGGGAAAATCTCGAAATCGCGGGTACTTTAAAAGATGCCATAACCACTTTGGACGACTACATTAAAAACTACATCATCGCCAACAACAAAGCGTTTTGCTTTTGCACTCACGGAGCATGGGACCTTAGGATCCAATTGCCTAGAGAAGCAAGGGATAAACGTATTGAATTACCTCCTTATCTGGCACATTGTAGGATGTTTGATTTAAAACAAGAGTATCAAAGATGGCAAGTGCATCATCCAGATGTGATATTAAAAAGTCATTCTTTAAATGAAATGTGTGTTTCTTTTGAATTACAAGTGGGTGGCCAACCACATACTGGATTAGGAGATTCACTTACTATGGTTAACATTATTCGATACTTTTGCTCTTTTGGACATCCTGATGTGTTTGTGAACCCAATTGACACCAATGCAGATTTGAACCAATTTAAAAAAGAAGAATCTAAAGTGATTCATTTGGCAGGTTTACCATATGATGTTACACAACCTGAATTAGAGGCGTGGTTTTCAGGTCAAGGTGTTAGACCAACATTATTATGGATGATTCGAACACCAGATCATCAAAAACCAAGCGGCTCCGGGTTTGGAATCTTTGCATCACATGAAGACGCTATGGCCTGTTTAGAAATGAATGGGAGAACTTTAGGAGATAGAGCTATTGAGGTGAGTCCAAGTAGCGAAAGAGTTACTGAAGCGGCTGGAGCAATATTAGCATCATTTCCGGTATGTAAAATATATTTTTTATTATATTCATATGCATGAATTATTCATGGTTTTTACTTTTTTATGAAATTTTTTATCAAGTATAATAATGTTAACAAACCAAATTTATTTATGATTTAAAATTTTGTCGTGTACTTTTTTTATTTTTATTTTTTTATATTCAATTGATGAAAAGATGTCCAAAAATCGTCTTCGGCCGGGTGATTGGGTTTGTCCAACTTGTCAGTTCCATAACTTTGCTTCTAGGAGGACGTGTTTTAAGTGCAATGCTATGAACCCAAACCCTTCTCCGGTGCCTGGAACTCCTCCAAATTTTACATTAGGAGATTGGATGTGTCCAACCCCTCAATGTAATTTCCATAATTATGCATCGAGAACTCAGTGTTTGAGATGCGGAACGTTCAAACCTCAGGGAATGTATGGTCCACCGCCGTCAGCAAATATGTCTTTTCGTCCTGGAGATTGGATTTGTCCAAATCCAAGCTGCGTCTTTCAAAATTTTGCTTCTAGAACGATTTGTATGCGATGTGGTGCTACGAACCATATTGGATATGATGCATACGGGAACTTAACGACACAGGATCAAGGAGGTTATGCTGGTAGTGTTAGTCACGGGTCTTCATCACCTGCACCGGCACCCTTCCGGCCGGGGGATTGGTATTGTCCTAGTTGTAACACTCATAACTTCGCTTCACGATTCCAGTGTATTCGTTGTGCGATAAGTAAACCTCCTCAAGTTGCTAATAGCGTTGCCATCACAGCTAACATGAAACCTGGAGACTGGTTATGTAGTAATGAAATGTGCGGTTATCATAATTTTGCGAAAAGAACTCATTGTGCAAAATGTGGTATGCCGAATAATTCTTCAGCGGGTGGGGAGAATGGGTTTCAACAATAATATCGTTAAGAACAGTTAACATATATAATATATTAAACTTATAGTTTCGTTCTAGGAATATATCTTGTGAATTATTTAGTAATTTATGGGAATTTTTACTTTTGATTAGGTTTAAGGATTTTATTTAGAATATATTTGTATATTAAAAGAAATGTGGGCGCTTTTTAACCGTTCGAGTTTGGAGAAACTGATCGGGGATTTTATTCTTTTTTTTTTGTTCATTCTTACAAAATTTTTGATTTTTTGCATTGTTAACCCTTGTAAATATTCCTGTTGGATGTCTTTGCGTCGTGACTTTTTTATTTTCCTAAGAATTTTGTTAATTGGCTAGTCTTTTGGCGCAGTCATTTTGTTTATATAATTTTTCTTTTCTTTTCTTTTCTTTTCAATTTACATGCTCTGAAGAGCTTTAAAAAGAATTCATTACTGCATCTTTTATTCGTCATGTATCATGGGGAAAGGGATAGTATTATTTCGTATATTATTATAATATGAACAAAATTAAATACTTTTACGATGGTCCAAATTTATTTCATTTCAATTGTTGGTTTATGCGGGTGGAATAAAATATTAAAAATTGTCAATCTAGAATTTTTTCTTTCTTTTTGATTATTAGCATTATCTTACAGGAATTTTTAAAAATCGTTTATTCACCCAAGATGTTTTTTCCATAAATCTTCTTTTAAAGGTAATTGGCTACAATTTTCAATTAGATCTAACGAAATTTTAACAATTTGTTCATGTAATCTTTCAACGGATTGTTTAGCATCTAAAAATTTCCACAAAGAATCATCATCATCTTTTTGTTTTAACTGAGAGAATGATTTACAAACTTTTTCTTGAAAATTTTTTTTTTCGTAACGTTCTTCACCAAATCCACCTCTTTTTTCGGATTCCTCAATTGATAAATCCATAAAAATGATAATATCTGGACGCAATAATCCTATATCCGGACAACGACACCAATCTAAATCCAAACCCTAATGATTTTATTTTAATTAATATTTTATAAAGGAGGAATAAACCATATAATTAACTTTTTAAAAACATTACTTTAGCAACTGAATATGATACACCAGAATAAGCATATCTATCTACAATTAATGTCGTTCCACCAAGTAGTAAATTTTTCAATTTTGGCCTAAAATTAGTTAAATTAGAATTTAATTGTTTTTTAATTGGATTTATGAAAGAAACTTACAAACTCTCCCATCTATTAGCAGAAAACAATAAATGTATTGCTTTATCATCTAATTCTTGATTATTTGTTAGATACGCGTTAATCGTTTGTCCAATTGGTGTCGTTCGATCTAAAAATTAAATTAAACATTCAACCAATTTTGTATTATGATGACATTGCTTTACATTAAAATGATTTAATATACCAGGAAATTTCCAAAGTTTAACAGAATGTCCAGTACTTTGTAAATATTCAAAGAGCTTATTCGCTTGTGTTGATTTTCCCGTTCTGTCACATCCTTCAAAAAGAATAAAGGCGCCACGTTTATAAGTAGCAGTATTGGTTGTATTTAGTGATATTTCTTTGGACATTTTCTTTTCTTTAATTAAGATCGCTTTATTTTGCTTTTAAATTTGCGAAAAGGCGCCACGTGTTTAGTGAACTTATAAGATAAAAAATCACGCGTAAAAATTTATAAAAATCCATTTTTAATATTAATACAGCATTAATTATATAAATTAAATAATCTATTGATATTTCAATTTGCATCAGTATAATTTATGATTTATCAGGCAAAATTATATTTAATTTCGCGAATATTATTCCAATTTATTACCTGTATAAAAAAATTGTCACGCTTGAGGATAATTATCGTTTAGTTCAAATTCTTTATCAATACCGCATCTTAATTGAAAATTCAACATATATAAAGTTTCAGACTCTTGTATTTAAAGACTTCTTTCGCCAGTCTAAATTGCAATTCTTCAAATAAACAAGCTCCAAAATTTGCATGCATTCCAAAAATTTAAGTTTTTCAAGGTCCACGGTTAAAGGAAAAGGAGTAACGTTTCATCAGTTTACCAGAAATACCAAAAAATAAAAACCATTAAAAATTATGACGACTCAAAACCAAGTAGAAAAGAGTCAACCGACGAGGAAATAAACAAATAGGATTGTATAAGAGGAAAAAAAAAAAAACAAATAAAATTGAACCGAAATTGAATAAAGGATGAAGCCAATAAAAAAATTAAGTCGTAAAAATAAGCACAAGAGACAAAACCGACCTCGTGTCTCTATGAAGGATCCCTTTTTTTCAAAAAAAAGGAATCCATAAATCGAAACTCATCGACTTGCCTATTGGTTGCTTATCGTCATCGACTCAACTCAAAAAAAAAAAATTTCAATTCTACAATTTCGATCGGAATCATTCCCGAAA